CAAGTTTGATCTTGTCCGCTAAGAAGTGGAAATAAAATTTACCTTTCATGTACTAGTAAACTAGCCGTGAAAGAGTTATAAACTATCCATTCATTTACACTAGTGAATTAATTTTTCTTTCCTTAAGTAACATACAGGATATGCTTACATTTCCTTCGCTTTCCGGAATGTCTCGCTTCCTAATTATCACTCTCTTTCTTTCACCACTCTTCCTTCTCACCTTTTTTTCATATTATCCTTACATATTTCCAATAAATTCTCAACACCCTATCTTCCGTCGCACTTCTTCCCTCTCTGTCCTTAGTCCAATTTCTACTTCACCACCGCCTGCTTTCTTCAAATCGTTTAATCATCCACAACGACCATCAAATTTAGATCCAGAATTTCGAAAATTAGGTATACCTATTCCCACCAACAAGTTTTATACAAATCTGTTGGTGGACAACGCACAATTCCCAGTTTACCCGTTGCCGTATGCACTAAGATTCGAGAGCGGAGTCAATAATGGATTATCCGGATTCAGCATTTCAAATGTCGACGAGGAAAATAAGGTATGGCATGCGATTTTGAGTGCTTATGTGTACAGCATAACATTAAATAGACACAACAATTTTAGGTATTCGGACCAGCTGCAAGTTACTTTTACTCAGCATACACTCCTAGTATAACAATCTCCTCTAAAGAGCTTCAAAATTCCACGAAACTTCTTCTTTCTAATCCCGATGATTTTTCCATTACGGCAAGGCTTGTGTCAAATAATTCCACCAATCCCACTCAACCACAAATTACTTTACCAATTGTTAGAGGAATGGCTTTTGTTACAGCCCAATACAGGAAGATGAGTCCTGTATTTGAGTCCGGTGTTGGATTTAATGTACTCAGTTCCCCAATTAAATTGAATCACGGAGTTATAAAGTATAAAGTCACATTAGCAGATGGAAGTAACTGGTTAATTTATGCGATTAATGATGATGGAATCAGTATTCTCCGGTTGTCAAAGACGAAATTAAATAGAATTGAGTCGACATCCGGTGTGTTCAGTGGTATTATTCAGATCGCAAAAGTGCCAAAAGGAAATGCAGCAGGCGAAAGTGTTTACGACAAGTGTGCGGGAACCTTTGCCACTAAGGCTCTATTAGACGTCCAAAATCAAGGGTGTGTGATAGAATTTCGGTTATATGTATCGCAATATGTAATATATACTGTATGTCCCAATTTCTCAACTATCAACTTTTTATCTAAATAGAAATGTAGGGTCCTACACCCTCTCCTGGATAACCACCACCAAGACCTCGGCACCTCTTCTTCACTATGCACTACCTCATCACATCACTTCATTCAAAACCTCTTTTCTCCAGGAGACCTCCCTCACGTTAACTTCTCCTTCAACGGGTCAAATGAAAGCATATATCGGTTCAACCTGGTTACTTGTCGAGTCCAGTCTCAATCAAATTTCATTTTTGCCGCCAAACTTTGCTTCAAAATTAACCCCTTCTCGGATTAACACCATCAAAGCCCAAGCAATTAAAGATGTTTCGTTAGACTTCAAAGCATTGTCAAATTTGGACACTACATATTTTAGTGGAAAAGCATTGGCAAAATTTGGACTAGTATGTCTGGTGGTTAACGATGTGTTAAAGGACAAAACTCTTGGAAACACCTGTCTGTCAAAGTTACAGGTATCTTATTATTTTACTTGGCATATACTTGTTGTAAATTTTAATTAGCATATACGTACTGATCATTTATTCACGCTCGAATACTCGCATAATTAATCACACAGATCGCCATGAAAGCATTTATTTCGAATACTCAACAATATCCACTCCGGTATGATGCTACATGGAAAGGGATAGTCTCTTCGGCCGCTTTCGTGACTAAAAATATTCAAGCTGATTTCGGTGCTTCATATTATAAGTAGGTATATTTTTTTATTCATGAATACGTAATATTTTTGCGATTCTCTTTTGAATAAAATCATTCTTTTCGCGATTAATTAGCGATCATCATTTTCACTATGGCTATTTCGTTTACACTGCGGCCATAATCCGCCATTTAAATGAATCATGGGGCGCTGCTAACGCTGCATGGGTGAATTCCTTGATTCGTGATGTGTCCAATCCATCGAAAAACGATCCCTATTTTCCCACATTCCGCAGTTTCGATTGGTTTGCCGGTCACAGTTGGGCAAGTGGAATATTTGCCTCCCAAGATGGCAATAACGAGGAGTCCACTAGTGAGGATTATAATTTCTTTTATGCAACGAAATTATGGGCTCAGACCTCTCCGAAAACTGTCGAAATGAGTAATTTGGGAAAATTGATGGATGTCATACTAGCGGTCGAGTCAAGGACGGTAAAAGCATATTTCTTGTTAGAGGACGAAAATACCGTGCAACCGAAAGCATTTCTGCCGAACAAAGTTTCCGGAATATTATGGGAAACTAAACTTGATCACACCACTTTCTTCTCGCAACAGATTGGTAAGTGAGAAAAGGAAATTCAATCAATCATTTAAAAAAAATGCAATAATTGATAAACATATCGCACATGTAGAGGCCATTCAGGGAATTCAAATGATTCCAATAACGCCAATTGTTCCATATTTCAGAACCAAAAGATTTGTAAGTAGATTATCCCAGAAGAAATTCTATCTAATTATGCTCACGTATCATAATATATTAACAAAAAAAAAACTCTGCAAAATTTAGATTAGCGAAGAATGGTCAAGGCTTCTTTCACCTATACTTCCTTTTATCAATAACAGTTGGAAATCACTGCTTTATACAAACCACGCGATTGTTGAACCAAACACAGCCTATAATTTTTTTGCGAGCAACTCGAGTGTACAATTAGATGATGGCTTAAGCAGGACTTGGGCTTTATTTTGGTGTGCTGTTCAATGACACGACAGAACATCTTAGAGGTCCTTGATTGTTTAATCGTTATTTGAAATATCATAGTTCAAATACGTTAGGCATAAAAAAAATTTATACATACTGTAGCACCTGTTAAAAACTCAATGATTATTTATTTATTTAAATAGAGTGAGCCTCAAAATAAATTATGTAAATTTGTTTGCAACAATAACAAACCACTGCATTGAGGTCAAAAGAATATGCACGCAGGGTGTGAAACGAGATTCTTTGACTTTTATTAATATTCCTAAGAATTGTTAACTTTTCGAGATGATTTTGTTAATACGTAATTAACCACGAGTTACGCGATTGAAGATTACACTACGTTTTTCGTCGAGATGTGGCTAGTACTGTAAAAGTATAAGGAATTGGTAGTCATTATAATGCGATATGTACAACCAAATGCTGAGAGAATATGCATATAATGTTATTTTCGTTTATTTAAAAATAATGTTAAGACAGGGAAAGGGTTAAAGGTAAGATGCTAGTTTTTGGTTGATTTTAAATTATCAATCAAGTTTACACCCTTCAGGCTATATTTGATTACTGTTAATAAATTCATTATTAATATACTGCATACACAGTATAATTAGTGTTAATTTTATTAAAAAATAGTAGAAATTACAAGTACGTCTGATATTTCAACATTGCCATATTTAGCTGATTTTTTAATAATCGATTACCGTACTGCGTGGACTAAAATACCCTGGGTATTTTACAAATTAATTTAAATAGGCGGGTATTATAGTTAGAGGGATACTATGATTGGAGTAGGGGGTATTATAGTAGGAAATATAAATTATATAAAAAAGATTAAAAATGTGTTTTGCGTTAATCGTGTTTTAATCGTGTTTTAATCGCGTTTTAATCAAGTTTAATCAATAATGCCTATTAGAGCTAGTAAAAGTTTTAAAAGAGCATGTATTACTACAAAATCACGTCGTTCTTGGACTGCTCGAGAAAAATTACTTATTGTTCATTATACTGAAAAATCACAAAATAATCGTGAAACTGCAAGAAAGTTTGATATTCAACCGAAACAAGTTCATGAGTGGAAAAATCAAAAATTACAATTACAAGCTGTTTCTCCTTTTATTCAAAAACTTCATTCGGGCAAAGAACCTCACTTACCACTTTTAGAAAATGAATTATATGATTGGATTATTAATATGAGAAATAATGCCAAGGCTATTACTCGAAGAAGTGTAACTTGAAAAGCTAAAACTTTAGCTGCAAAACAACATTATCAAGATTTATATCCAAAAATTCAAAATTTTAAATTTTCTAATAAGTGGCTTAATGGTTTTATGCATAGATAAAAACTTTCTAATCACTGTCATACCAATATAGCTCAACATTTACCAGAAGAGTTAAATGAAAAACAACAAAATTTTTTAAGTTTTGTATTATATCAATGAATTCAGTATAATTATGAATTACAATTTATTGAAAATATGGATGAAACTTCTATGAGTTTTGATCTTTCCTATGGTATTACTCTCGATCTTACCAGCATACACACTGTTAGTATTTGAACAAGTGGTCACGAAAGAACAAATTTTATTGTTGTACTTGCATGCATGGCTAATAGTATGAAATTATCTCCTATATGCATTTTTAAATTAAAAAATAAGCCATGAGAAAATTTTCCTTCCAATGTAAAAATTCAATTTAATGAAAAAGGATATATGAACGAACAAATGATGCTATGGTGGGTGAATAATGTCTAAACAACTAGAAACATGCTTGGAAATTCAAGATCTCTTTTAATAATGAATTCATTTCGAGGCCATTTGGTAGATTCAGTAAAAAACTGTCTTACAGAAAAAACAACAAATATTGCTATTATTTCTGGAGGTCTTACTTCTAGAGTTTAACCATTGGATGTTGCGATTAACAAGAGTTTTAAAGTGAAGGTAAGTTTGTATTTATTACATTAACTTTAAACATTAATTACTTTAATTAAAAAAACATTATTTATTATTTAGGTTCGTGAATATTATAATAACTGGATGAATCAGAATGATTTGATATATACTGCAACAGATCGGATTAAGAAACCTAACTATGCTACATTAGCAGAATGGGTTAGTTATGCATGATCAGATATAGATTCAGATTTAATAGCTCGATCATTTAAATGTTGTAGAATTTCAGTCGCTAGAGATGGATCCAAAGATGATCAAATTTTTGATTATGATCGTTTATTAAATATTGATGATAATAATATTATAGATAAGGAAGAAAATATTTTTAGTAATGATAACTTTAATATTAACGAAGAATTAAACTATGAAGAACAACTGGAATACGATATTGATTGGGAATAAAAAAGAATTATAAATGCTGTTTTTTTTGTTTTTTTGTTTTTGATATGTAGCATGCATATATTGTATATAGATAATAGAATAAATAAATCAATTGATACAAAGAATCTTTTATATCAGATTTTTATAAAAGAATATTTTATATTAAAGAAGCAAACTTTTCCCTTACTACATTTGTTTTTTCTAACTTATTTTTGCAAAACCTATAAGTAAAAAAAAAACAATTATAACCACATGTTTTATATTATAATAATTATTTAAAATCTTCGCCTGAACTTATTTTTTCTAAACCATCCCCTAATTATACTTTCCTATATATGTTTATTTCTTCTAATCTATCTATTTTCTCTATCATCAATTTTGTTTTTTCATATACTTATATTTATTCACAATTCATTTATAATTCATTCCTTTTAATCTATACCTATCTACTTTATACTATCCATTTGTTTTATCCCTTTTTTTCACTTACATTTATCTACTACCGTTAACAATGTTTAACCCTATTATAATTTGATTGATCTCTATATATAAAAATCGTTTGATAAAATTGATAATAAGTTATCACTAATAGGAAATAATATTGGAGATATGATTATTTCTAGAAAAATTAGCGAAAAATACTATAATTGATAACTTTTTAAGAGACAAAATACCTTATGACCACTTAATCGCATCACGTTTAGTAATCTTTCGAAGTTTCTCAAAGCATCTGCATTTTTATTAATAATTTTAAATAACATCCCAACTCTTGTTAATATTAATCCATAAACATTAATATATTCAAGACCAAGAGGAAGAAAGTCTTGATACCAGTGTATGCACCAGAATTGTAGGACATTTTGACAGCTTTCTCATATGGAAGTCTGTACCATAAGTATGAGCCTCAAATCTTATCAGATTCAATCTGTATGATTTGCTATAACAAAGTGCAAAAATTCTTTTGGAATTCTAGGTATATTAACATTTTCCTCTAAAAAATTAAAATATAAAAAAAAATGAATGAATTAATGACATCGTAATGATTAGAATTTGCCACCCCTGCTCAAAGAAGAGAAACAAAGAACAAGAGATGACCTATTCCCCCAAATAAACCAAAGAAAGACCTATCGGCCATATGACGCCAACCTCGAGAGATGCTAGATGGTATAGAGAAATGCCAGAGCCACGACCTAGAATGATAAAGAAAGGATGACAATGATTGCAAGTTCTTCAAAGACCTCACTTCTCTTAAAAATCAAGCTTCTGGTGAAATCTTTACAAACAAATGTTATCGGCTGGCGAAGAAACTAAGAAAAAGTCAGGAAATGATATCCAACGATGTTACGATTGATTCTTGTCGAGTGATATTTATGTTTGAAGATTAAAAATGATAGTGGAATCTCCAATCGACATCTCGAAGAGTAACAAAAATCACAATCATGATCATGATTATGATTACAATTGCACGTTTTCCCTTTGAAACCATGTAACTCCAGTTCCAAGAAAGAATCGTGACACTGAAAGAAGTTTCAGACAAGTCCTTACAGAAAGGAGGACCTTCTGAGAAGAGAATAGTGAAGAAACCAGAAGGCAAAGAACTAGAACTTACCTGCGAGATCCTGGTAGCCAAGTCAGGAATGTGATATCATCGAGGGTTAAGGCAAAATTGTAAAACATTATCAAGATCAGATCACTAAAAAAACATTGTTTTTAAAAAGAAGAGACATGAAATGTAAATAGAGGAGTATTTAAATTGCTATGACAAAAATTACTATACTTATCAAGAAGACCAATAATCACTAAAAATCTATTCGACGCATACTGTATATACAGTTATACCGAAGTGACGATCCTATTTTAAACAATATAAATTTTGGTTTTTTTGTAACTGTATATGCCAGTCACGTTTCACAAGAGGATGCATTATTTCTGTGAGATACTTTATATTCTAAATACTTTTATTTTTCAATTTGCCATGTTCAGTACCCCGGGTATAATACATTCTAAGCCTTGAAAAATCATGAGAGATACTATACCGGAGAGGGTATTTTAGTCCATGCAGTACAATAATAGATATATAGTACATACTATTATTATGATATTTACATGAAACTAGTTACATTTTAGATTTAACAGGTAATATTTTAACAATAATCACATATTTAACTGGTATTGAAATAAACTATAAATATTTATTATTTATTATTAAAAATAATTATTTTAAACAATTTATTAATTATACAAATTCATATTATTTAAATTTTGATAAAGTATATTTTACAAAATTTAATTATGGGTATACATGTAGTAAAATTAAATTCAAATCCATATTATGGTAAAACTACTAAGTAATATATAATATAATAGATAATTGGAAATTGTATTTAATTCAAAGTCCTATTATTGATTAAATTTCCTTTTATAGTAATATATAAACATGTATAATTATGGCATTTAAAATAATTAATCAGGTTTAAATAGAATATTTTTGCTAACAATGTTAAATAGATTAAAGTTTAAACTTTATTTTTAATAATAAGTTTATAAGTATATTAAAAAAGTTTTTGAATATATATTTTTAATTATTATTTTATAACCAATACATTATATTATGTAATTATAACTTGTTTAAAGGTTTAAAACATATACTTTTAATTAAAAAATTTAATAAAGGATTCTTTTTGTCTTGTAATTAATTATAAGTTGACATTGTTTACTTATAGATATAATTAAATTTACTATAGTACTTTTTGAAATCCTTTCTATTTCTTAATCATAAACTGATTTAATTTTTCAATATTTTATAGTTATTATATTTTTATATTTTTCTTAATAATAGATCATAAATTTTTTATTAAGTTTAAAATAGAACTATTAAAGATTAATTAATTATAATAAAAATATTTGTTTAAAAAAATTTCTTAATTATATTATTTACTTCAAATCATTATTCTGCAAAAATTATCAATACTTATTAAACAATTTATCAATTTTTAAAAAATATTTTCTAATAATATTAATATAACTAATACTAGTTATATTATTACAAAAACAATAAAACTAATTTTACTCTTGATACAAATTTTACCCCAAGTATTGATTCTTGTTTAGTTTTTATAAATTTATTGATACTTTTATATCAATATTTTATGATATTGCAAAATAATCAAAAAAATATTTTATTAATAAAAATATATATTTTCAATTGTTATTAATATTATTTTAAATCTATTTTACTTACTTTGCTTTGTATACTTTGGTAAACATTAATGTTACTAAAAAAAGCTTTTTTTTTTAAATTCATGATTAGTTAAATACTGTAAAATAGTTATATATAATATATATACTTCTTTTTCAATTATTTTATTAGTCAATATTCTTGTTAATATTATTAAATTTGCTTAACTATTTATTCTATTGCATTTGAAAGTTTTGAATTAATTTTTTTAGAATAATCAAAACATTTCTTATAAATTATAATTTCAGTTTTTTTTAACTTACTAATATTGTAATAAATAGTAGACTTATGAATATCTATTTTATACTAAATTTCAATAATATTTCTTATACCATTCTCTTAAAAATATTGTATAAATATGGCCTATACAGATTAATTGATAATTTTGTTATTATTTAAAAAAAAATTTTTTTAGCAAATATTAGTTATACATATAAACAAATTATAGATAGTGTGATAAAAATATAATATACTTAATTTAAATTTTTCTAAATCTAAATTTGAACAAGTTATGTGACTTTTGATTTTGATACTAATTGTTCAAAACAATATTTTTATTACTTTAGAAGAGCAAAATAATAATCATATTAATTTAAAACAAAATATTTTTATAAAATAAAAAAAAAAATTCAAAAAAATATTAAAAGAAATCAAAAAAAGATAAAAATTTACAATTTAATACATTGAAATTTTTAGTTTCTTGTTTAACAATTTCAAAATTATTAATAAAAATAATTATTAATTATTAATAGTTTAATTTATTTAACATATGTTATATTTAAATAATATTAATTTAATTAATATAAAAAATTAAATATTAATGACCTGTGGGTCCATAGTACAGTGGTTAATGCTCCACAGGTCAGATCATAAGATATCAGTTCAATTCCATATGAAGATGATTGAATAGAATTAATATGGTATCTGGTACCATAACCAATTATATGCTGTTTCCCATAAGAAGTCATTTCATACGCTGATCTAGCGGATGTTGGGATTGTGATCTTCCCATTAAGAAGTAGTGGTGTGATGATTGTTTGGAAGATATTACAATGATTGTCTACGAAAGGTGCCGCAAAACCACCCATATATTTGGATATACAGATTAGGCTATATTCCATCTTAACCAATTCCAAACCACCATTTTCTCCATTGTCGATTGTCAAATAAGAAAGCTTTGAAGAAAGCACTGAATAACACTAAAGTCTTATGTAACATGGCTTAATCCCAGATGGTTTATGCTTGTAGAAGTTGTGCCCTGCTTGGCATTTATGCCCCTAGATTTGGTAGCCAATGCCAACCAGTTCCAAATTGGAGTATCTACTAGGAGATAAAGAACTTTGGAAGTTTGATAAGTCATGGCCTGTATGGTCCTTAGGAGTTGTGCCCCATTTGACCACAAGAGCTCCTAGATTTGATAACTAGCGCCAACCAGCGGACCAAAACTGGAGCATTCACTAGGAAGTACAAGCATTATGTTGTTGACCTCTCTGCCACAGGATAAAAGGTGTGAAGAGATATGATATGACAAGTAACTTAAGAGATAGTCAGCAGTATTGACTGCTCTTATACAAAAAATTGGACCGGTAGATTGGATAGTTTAAAACTAGTGGTAGGATTTCCATCCCTAGATAGGTCTCTTCCAAAAATATGAGTCCACTTCAAGAGTGGTGCTTGTATTGCTGGGGTATTAAGAGTAAATAGGTTAGCATTAAGCTGTAGTCTAACATTATAGAAGATGTTTGATGTAATTGTGATATTATATATATATCAATAAACAATGATATCTAAAGCCTATTCTACTATAAAAAAAAAAAAACAATTAAATATTATTGTTTTAGTTAAATTTTATAATTTTATTTTGATATTAAAATCAAAAAATAACAATATAAAATGAATTTCAAAAAAAAATTAATAAAAATTAATGAATATTAACAAGTTTTTTTTTATAATTGAAAACAAAAATATTATAAAATAATAATTTTATTAAGAATTTAAAATTTCTATAAACCAATTAATTCAAATATAAACTTTATTTATCTTCAAAATCAAAATAATATTCATTCAACTTTTTATCAAATTAAAATTATATAACAGATATCTTAGTTTAAATATCAATAATCTTTACTCCAGGTGTGATACTTTTATTGAGAATATACTATATATTTTTTTTTTATCTATAATCAATCTTTTATTAACAAAAAAAAAATTACAAAATCTTATTTCCAAATACAATTGCAACAATCTTTCAACTATAGATTTTATTAATAAAAATATATTATTAAACAAAGACTTACTTAATTTAATTATCTATAACTTCTAACTATCCTTTAGTACTATATAAAAAAATATATATAAATCTTAATTATATATTTAAAATTTTTTACAAAACATGGAAGCAATAATCTGTAACAGTAATTATCTTATTATTATCTAATATAAAGTAAACAAAACTAAAATATTATAAATAATAGCCTTCAAAAAAAATAATAAAAATTTGATATTCCTAAAGATTATTAATATTTTATAAAACTTAAACAACTATACTAACAAACAAATATTTATTCCAGTAGTAATTTCATTATTTTAAATAAGTATTAGTTATTCAATACTATCTTTATAAATCTAATTACTTAATATAAATTTGTATAAATAGTTATGTTACAATAGATTACAATTAATTTATATTTTTTTATAAAGATTGTTAATATAATAACAATAATTTGTTATTTAAATAAAGTCTTATATTTAATACCTATTTGTGATAAAAAATAATATAATGTTATTTGTTTTTATAAAATCTTCTCAAATCCAATAAAAAAAGTTTTTAATTAAATAATTACTCAAATTTTAGATAAATTTAATAAATATTAGTAAAGACCTGTGGGTCTATAGCACAGTGGTTAGTGCTCTACAGATCAGATCACAAGATACCAGTTCAATCCTATGTGAAGACGATTGAATAGAATTAATATGGTATCCGGTACCATAGCCAGTTATGTGCCGTTTCTTATAAGAAGCCATTTCACATGCTGATCCGGTAGGCGTTAAGATTGTGATCTCCAGATAAAAGAGTCATGGTATGACGATCGTCCGGTTGGTACTATGATGATCGCCAGAAGTTGGACAATAAAAAGGTATAGAAGACATCCGATTTGAGAAAAGAAGGCTTGGTGATCATTCCCTGTGGTACCTGGTGTCTCTTCCTGCAAGTTACCGATAGTCCAGTTTGGGTTAGAGGTTTCCTCTACAGAGTTCTATTTACCATAATAGGTACTACCCCCCAGTTTTCCCTTTCACTTCTTCTTAAAACATTCCCAGTTAGAAATTGAACTTAACATAAAATAACGACACTAATGGAGCATATGCACGTTAGCCTCGACTCACCTGAAATGGCAGTTGATAGTATCAAGCCAATATGGAGGTAAAATCCGATAATAATCCATGGTGGTCTAGAGTAGTTTATAGATAGTAATTACCTGTGAAAACATGTAAGATACATATATGAATTAGAAAGGTAGCCAACATTGGGTAAAGCCCTGCTAGTCGAAATAAAAAAAAATAAAATAAATAAATATTAGTGAAAAAAAGAAATCAATAAACATATTTATAAATAAATAATTATAAGAAAATTTAAGTATTTTTTATTTATCTTATATTTAAACAAGAGTTTTTTAACTCTATTTAAACAATAATTATTAAAATTATCAAATTCATATACAAAATTTTCTTCAAATATTTCAAGTTAATTATAATTAATTAAAGAGAATTTAATATATCATTATCAAAAAAAAACAAAGATTGAGTCTTATAAACAATTTCATAATAAAACTAGTCACTTCTATAATAAAAAGGTATATAATCTAAACTATCCAATATATTCAAAAAAAAAATAATCCAGTTCTATTTAATTTGTGATTCAAAAAGATTTAATTAGAACAATTGGATATTTTATATAATTAAAATTATAAAAGATCTTAAAATTTAAATTTGTTTTTCAAACTGTTCTTTTTAATTAGAAAATATTTACAACTTTATAGATCTTCTTTTTAAAAACCTATTATTTCAACTTAAAGAAATAGCAATTATATATATAATACTCTTAGTAAAAAATTCTTTAATCAGTTTCTTTAATACAATAGTTTAATTAAATTGAGAAGATTTGTATATACAATCTTAATTATAATATTTTATTATAATTTAATAAATAAATAACTTTAGCTTGATTGAGAATTTTTTTTAAAAAAAATAAATAAATGATTACTATAAACAAACTAATATTTAATTCATTATAAAAATTTTTTTTTTTAATAAAATGGTATTGGATACAAGTCTTTATTGAATAATGATCAATTTTTATATTATATCAAATATCATCTATTGCTATTATAATAACTAAATACTAGCCTATTTACTTATTATCCCAGTAAAAGTAAAGATATTCATAAAATAAATTTATATTTTTGAAGGAATCTATCTAAGGGATGGAAATCTTAATACTAATTTTAAACCATATAACCTATTGATCCAATTTTGTATAAGGGTAATAATATTCTATTAACTATTTTCTAAATTACTTATTATATTATATCTTTTTGCTTATATATTATATGGTAGAGGACTGATAATATAATACATATACTTTCTAATAAATGTTTTAGTTTTGATTACTGGTTGGCTTTAAGTTATCAAATCTAGGGACTCTTATAGTCAAGTGAGGTATAACTTCTTAAGAATTCCCAAAATCTTTAATCTTCTAGTAAACACTTCAGTTTCAGATTCAATTGATATAAGTTGTTAAATCTAGAGGTATAAATGTCAAGCAGAACATAACTTATATATATATAAACTATTCAAGAAAAATCATATTGCACAAGATATTAGTGTCGATATAGTGTTCTTCTTCAAAGTTTTCTTATTTAATAGTTAACAGGAAAGGAAATAGTGAATTGGGATTGATTAAGATAGAGTATAGCCCAATTTGTACTTTCAAATATATAAATAGTGAACTTATTTTGATAGGCAATTATTATAATATTATTCAGATGATTATCATATTACCATACCTTAATAGAAAGATCACAATTTCAACATTTACTATAATTTATTACAAAATTATATATAAAAGATATTATTTTTTTTTATAATATATAATATATTCTTTTATATATAACTAAATAAAAAAAAATGTTTACTTAATTGTTTAATAAAAATTGTGTATCTAATGTTTATTGCAATAAAAAAAAATGTTTACTTATAATAAATAAATATAAATATATAATATTATTTAATTATAATAACTTGTTTATCAATTTTTTTATTATATATAATATAGTTTATATATATATTTTTAAATACAAACAAATTGAAAAGTTAAATTTATTAAAAACCATATTATATATATAATTTTTATTTTTTTAAATAAGTTTTCTTATTTTAATTTGATTTTAAAAATTTTGATTAAAATAATAATTATATAAAAAACTTCCTAAATGCATTCTTTTTAAATGTATTTATCATGTTTTTTTTCTTTAAATATATGATCAAGCTTGATCCCAAATATATAGGACTCTCAATAAAATTACTTCTATAAATATATACTTTCTATAAATATATATTTTTTTAAAATTTTCCTATGGTCCCAAGGGGTGTGCATTTAGAGAGGATTCACTGTTTATAAAAATTATTATTAAACATTATATTACCAAATACGGGATTGATTAGATGTAAATTATCAAATCAAAATCCTCGATCAACAAATTTTCGAACTAGTCCTGTTCGTTAGTTCTTTTGATATAAGACCCAATAGCTTTATCTTGAACACCTTTTAAAGAATGCCATTGAAATTTCCAGTGAGGGCTTACGTTCTGAATCGAATTTTAGATTATAAATTCAACCCCCAAAACATTAATGCAGTGAAATCAAAGTGGTTTGGCAACAATAGATCTTTTGCAACGACGCTGTCAAATAATGAAAAACCGTCCGGGAATGCCGTCAGTGAAAAAACCGAAAATATATATGATATTGTCATTGTTGGAGGTGGAATTTCGGGAAGCGCTTTAGCTTGTGCTTTGGGTAAAGCATTCTTATCGCT